AGATGCTGAGGCAGGAGGATCCCCGTGAGTTTGAGGCCAGCCTGGGCTACATAGTGAATTCAAGGCCAGCCTGAACTACATAGCAAGACCCTGTCTCAGAAAATAAATAAATAAATCAATGGTTTTTTTCAGTGTATGTGTCTTTTATTTCCAAACCACTAAGTTGTTAGGACATGAATACTGTACTTAAGTTGTCTGGCCCTAGATTATTTCTTTTGACCAAAAGGTGCCATGAAACAATGACTGCTAAGAGCACCGGGAACCAAGAAGGATCAGAGACTCCAACTCAAGGCAATGACAGTTGCTGCAACTCAGAGACCCCAAGGGCCTCTCAAGGCAGCCATACACCTCACCTGGTCGCCACAACCAGCTCACATTCCAGGGCTGCAGCCCCTGTCCCCTGCAGCTGCATCGTCTCTCCTGCCCATGAGGGCCCCTCACCCTGGGGCCGCCGGCTCTCTTGGGCCCCTCCTGTGGTGCAATACCAGGGCCCAGGATTTCTGCAGCCAAGTTTGTGGCTTATCAGACATCAGCCAGCACTGGGCAGCATATACCAGTAGCACTGCTTCAATTGGCCACAGCTTCAGGAGGCCCCCAGGTGCACTGAGAGATGTCAACAGGATCTTGTGGCCACTTCTCTGTGGCAGTTTCAGGTCTGGGAGCCGCCCTTCTTTTCTGTTCTCACACTGCCTGCCACTTATTCCATATCTTTCTGGGGATAACGAAACCAGGCATATCCAGTCTCCCCAACCCCATACCAACACCAGGGGCTCTCCTCTCTCCTCCTGTGCCCCAAGTGTGGCCACATGGAGTCTGTGTCCCCATCACAGCAGTTGATGGCCCAGGCACCCACATCAAAGTGGGTTTGTCTCAGCTGAGGTCATGTTGGCCATCGTGACGCTGTAATAAGCATCTCTTTATTCTGTATTTTGATGCTTGAACATCCAGGGCTCACTGGCCCTGGACAACAATGAATGACTCCTGGAAGCAGTGAGGCCCTGGCCATACAGCACCCAGGCCTGGCACCCGCCGGGCTCCCTCCTTGGGCCTCCCCTCTGCTCTCGTCACCCAGCCAAGCACTAGACACCCAAGGCAGCCCCACACCCAGAAGCTGCAGAGACTGCTGAACCAGGTGGTCTCCAGGTTGCCTGCCTGGCTTCACCCATTTCTTCCATGGAGACTACCATGAGGGCTCGTGCCTGCTCCTCCCCTCACTCCCCACCCCTGCTGGCCCAGGGTCCCCCAGTCCCCTGCATGGCCAGGGCCTGCTCTTGGATTTGTCAGTGAAATGGCTTCTTCCGTGTCTCACCCTCTGTCTGTGTCCTGCCGTCCCTGATCAGAGCACACAGAACCAAGTTTCAGAGGCTACATCCAGCACCACGTGACAACCCCCTTCTGTGCCGACTGGTTCAGAAGTGACAAGGGCCACATCCCTCACCCTCTCCTGACCCACCTCCCAGGGCCTAACACCACAGTCATCCCTGCACCCTCCTCTGCACATACCGTGAGGCAGGCATGGCTCAGAACTAAGGCTCCCCCTGGATAAAGTAGGCCTGCACTGATGTGTGCACACAGTGGTGTAGGCTAGGGGCTGAGGATAGGCATGAGAGCACACTGGAGAACAAGGGGTGGACAGAGCTATGGACTTAAGGGATAGGCATCAGTGGCCAAGGTCCCCATGACTAAACAGGAGCCAATCGCGTCCAACCAACCATATTTCTCTGCAGATGGCACCTGGACACACCCCTCTCCAGCCAAAGCAGAATGTCAGCAGGATGCTTGGTCTGCTCCTCAGGCAGCCACATGGTGGGGTGGCTGCAAGAGGACCACAGTCCTGTCTCAGCAACATCCCAGCCAGCCCTGCCCACCCTGGGCCACGTGAAGGGGGCCAACAGGGTGAGGGCCAGGAGTCAAATTGGACAGAACCCAGGCCTTGGGGGAGGCAGTGTAGGACAGATGTGATGCTGCAACTGGAGCACATTCTTGTTTTTTCTGTGTAAAGTGATACTTAAGACATCCAGCAAGAAGGTGGACTGCATGAAATTTAGGAGCCAATGTCCACACACACACACACACACTATCCACAAAACCGCCCACCACAGAGAATTTGCCAGCACCTATGGCTTGGGTTGCCCCTCCCCAGGCCTGTGGGTGACATTACTCCAAGTCCCCTCCCTGCCCAAGTTAAGGCTCACTTTTATTTTATTTTTTAATTTTTGGTACTGAGGATAGAACCCAGGGCCTGGTACTCTAGGCAAGCACTCCACCGCTGAACTACATCCCAGGTCTTTAATGGCTTCCTTGTCTCCCTGCAGCAGTTTTTTCCCTTGAGGATTCCAGGTTTTGTTCACCCAGAGTAATGGTTTCCTTGGCTTCTCTCCTGGTACAGTAGTGCAGCCCCACGACCCTGAGACTGCTTGGTAGGGTCTCTGCACCATCCAGGCCCAGCAAGTGTACAGGGCACACCTACACGCTGTCTAAAGTGGGTCTTCCAACTCAACCCCACTGCCAGGACTGTGTCCCCACAAGGGCCCTTGCAGATGTGACAGGTATCAGGTGACAGGTGACAGGCTGGCCTCCCCACCCTTGCTTATTTGGTTTGTTTTGGTACCAGGGATCGAACTCGGATCCTTCCGCTTGCGAGGCAGGCTCCAGAACCACTGAGCTAAATCCCCGGCCCTCTGCACCCTTGCTTATGACGGTGAACATTGTGACCTATTGACGGGACCTTCCTCTTGTACTGCACCATTCTTGTTTCTCGTAAGGAATGATGGTGCTGTGTGTTTTTTTTTGTTTTGTTTTGTTTTGTTTTTGGTACCAGGGATTGAACTCGGGTCCTTGTGCTTGCGCAGCAGGCGGCGAAACCACTGAGCTAAATCCCCGGCCCAGGTCCTATGTGTTTTCAATACAATTTTTACCACTTACAAAAGTAGTAAGCAAATTCTCCCACTTTTTTTGTTCTGCTACTATGGATAGAACCAAGGGGCACTTTTAACACTGAACTATATCCCCAGCCCTCTTGAGACAGGGTGTTGTCACTGAGCTGCCGAGGCTAGGCTCAAACTTCAATCCTCCTTCCTCAGCCTCCTCGAGAGCTTGTTTGGAGGTTCTCGCAGGGGAGCATAGCTACTCATATACCCTTGACTGAGGAAATGGTCCTCCTCTATCAAGGGGGTCGTCCTCTTTGACCTAGAGTGCAGCTCCGGGGGCGATGCACATGGAGTGCTGAGGAAGGGGACGCCTGCCTAGCCAGCCAGATTAGCTGAATCAACCCTGGCAGTCGATGGGAGGATGGCTGTCACAGCGACTCCCCTCACATCCCTGTCTCCTGAGTAGCTTGGATCACACGTGAACCACTGTGCCGGGCTCATTTTCTACATGGAGTCTTCCCACCAACACCCAAGATGCTGGGCATGGAACCCAGAGCCTCTCGCATGCTGGGCAAGTGCTCTACCAGAGTTGTACCCCAGCTGTGCTGCTTTCGAATAAGGAAAACTTCCTAAGTTTTCCTTTCCTGTGGCTCTGTGGTCTCTGCAGTGTCTCCATAAGAGCAAAGGGAAGTGCTGCATGTCTTCACACAGATGCTCACAGTGGCCCCAAGCTGCTCATGGCTCCAAGCCCTGCTGCCCAGGGGTGTGGAGAGGAATAGGAGGGACAGTGTGATCACACTGCTCCTCAAAGTCAGGAAAAGACAGGAGCTGGGTGTGAGTGAGGACCCTGGCAACCCCATCAGCTGTCCCTCTGAGCTGGGAAGGGATTCTCCCAAGGGATCCAGACAGCCCCCTCCCAATACCTGACTTCAACCCTGACTAATGGTGTAGGAGCTCAGGCCTCAGAACTGCAGATCAGCAATGTGGGCTGTTTCAAGCCACTGCACCCCTGGCCTGTCAACCACAATTGCTCATCGAGTCTATGTAAACCTGGCTTCCCCAGGTAGCATCCTGCTGCCAGAACTCCCACAGCCACCACCACCATCACCTCAGGAGCCCCAGATAGACTTAGAGGCACACAGACATGTACACACAAGAACTCTGCCTACAACTGCACCAAAGCAACCAAGCAAGTGGAAAAGTGACGGCTCCAGGACACTCAATCTGCATCTGGCTTTTAAAATGAAGTTCTGATGGGAACCCCGGGCCAGACAGGTTCCTGGCTGCAGGGAGCTTACGTGGCCTTGCTTACGACACAGGAGGAGGCCAAGGCACAGCAAGCGGGAGGGTTGGCCACTTCCAGAGGCTACCTCAAGGCCCCATGTCCTGGACCGGAGCTGCAAACTACAGATGGAAGCAGTAAGAGGAGCCAGGGAGGAGGGGGCCTAAGGTGGGAGGAGCTTAAACCAGGCTGTGTGGGTCAAGGATGGTGGCAGAGTGGGCCCCGTGCCCATGAGGGTCAGGTGGGACTCTGTAAGATGAAGCAGGCAGTGGGCCCAGGGGCTGACAACGGCCTTGGCCCAGACAGGCAGGAGGTTGGAGGGAACCCAGTGGACCCTTCTCCTTTAGCATTAGGTCAGGGTCTGAAGCCTGGGATGGGGATGCAGGCAAGGCTGGAGGCTGCAGACCCACCTGTGCCTGCTGGTGGGGGAGACAGCAAGAGAGGCCACTCTGCTGGCTGTAGGCGCAAACCCAACACAGGCAGCTCTTTGTTGGGCTGAGCTCTGGAGCAGCCTCCAGAACAAAGCCCCTCTGTCCACTCGGGCTCCCCTCCCCCTGGGCACCACCCCCAGGGAAAGGACCAGAGCCCCTCAAGGCCCCATCCGGCCCCCACCCCACCCACATACAGACACATCCACAGCCAGCACAGGAGGAAGGCTGTATGCACTGCTTGCACTGGGATTTGCAGTGGGCAAAGGCAGAGGTAGGAGGGCACAGCTGTATTCAGGGCAGATGTGGGGTTCCCACAGCCTCTGTCCCCAGGGTCCCCAGGGTGCCTCTGGTGCAGCTCAGCTCAGGCACCTTGGGTCTGAGCTCCCTCTTCCCACCCAAAGAAACAGAAAGACAGCAGAGAGGGAAGTGGCCTGGTCCCCTAGGCAGGGAAGGTTCCACCATTTATTTGAGTCCTCACCAGGCCTCCTCACAGGGAGCAGCTATGCCAGTCCCAGAGTTGCAGGCCACATTGGCCCTGTATCCATTGCTCCAGAACCTGCTCTTCCGCGGAGGCCAGCACAGCCCAGGCAGGTTCCCACAAGGAGGATATGTCTGTGGGACCTCAGCATCCAGGTGGCAGGATCCAGAGGAGGCCTGGCACAGCTCCTGCCAGCCTGGCCAGTTCCTGCCTACACTGTCCCTGCAGCCAGCACAGCATCGCCTCCAGACTGGCCTCCTGGCTCCTCAGGGCCCTGATCACTTCAGCCACTGGCAGGCCCTGGGCCCCTGCTGTCCCAGCCTTGATCTTCACAAGACGGTGGGGCCCCTGAGTCAGGCTGGGGCCCCTCTCCTGCTCCCAGGACCGCTGCAGGGCCAGCAGCTCCTGTTCCACAGTCTGCTGCAAGGCCTGCCGTGCTGCACTCCACTCTGGCCCATGGCCCAGGCCTCCAACCTGAACAGAGGGAGCCACAGCAGCTCAGGCACGGCAGCTCTATCCCCAAGACACAGGGCTCAGGGTTCTCAAGATTCCTGGGGCCTGGGGGTGTCCCACCAAGGGCCCTCACTTCTTTGTGGAAAAGTGATGGTGCCCAGTATCTTCCCTCCAGAGAGAAGGGGCCACTGTCCTAGGCCTGGTTTCACCCTCATAGAGCACACAGCCCTATCAGCCACAGCCGGGCCCCAGACACTCCCAGTCCCCACCCCTAGGCCTCACAAGACCTCAGCAGCAGGCTTAGCTGGCTGGTTGGGAGGTGGAGATGGGTGTGCCACCATACCGAATTCAGAGACAAGCTTGGGGCCTCCTACCCCCAAGCCTGCTCACCACTCCCCAGGTCTGTACAGTCTCCTACCACCACCCTCCGCTGCAGCACCTCCTAACTCCCAGGGCAGGGAGCTGCCCACTGAGGCCACCTCTGGCCCTGGGACAGTCCTAGGGTTTGAACTCTCAGCCCACTCCAGAAGACCCCAGGGAGCCACCTGAATGTCTGGGGCTAGGCAGGGTGGGATTCCCCAAGGACACGGACATGACCTAGACTGGCCCTCATTCCTGGGCTGGAGGAAGGTTCCTGAGGCAACAGGTATGGGGAACACCCTGGTCTTCATGGAGGCCTGCTGGGAGTTGAGGTGAGTCTGCCTGGCTGTTTGTGTTGAAATGCTTTCAAAAAAGAAAATATGCCAGGCATGATGAAGCACACCTATAATCCCAGCTACTTGGGAGGCTGAGGCAGGAGTATCAAAAGTTCAAGGGCTGGGGATTTAGCTCAGTAGTGCCTGCGCACAAGTGCAAGGTTCTGAGTTTGATCCCTGGTACCGTAAAAAAAAAAGTCCAAGGACAGCCTGAGCAACTTGGTAAGACCCTTGATTCAGAAACATTTTTTAAAAAAGGATTGGGGATGTAGCTCAGTACTCCTTGGGTTCCAAAGAAATGGAGTAGCATTCAGCACTTGCAGCCAGGAGGAGCCCGCTCAGAGGTCCACTGGACATGGGGCAGTAGCCACCAGCAGGAGGCAGAGGCACAGGCCCCAAGCAGCATGTGGAAGAGTGACCAGCAGGGCAAAGGGACACCTGCATAGGTGCCAGGGGGTGGGCCATGCCATGCAAGGCAGGCTCACCCCCTCTCCAGGATCCCTTGGAGAACAAGATCCCAATCAGGCGGTCTGGAGGCATGCAGAGGGCTGCTGCAGCAGTCTGTGGGGACCCCTCACTGTGCACTTCCCTGCCTTGCTGGAAAGTGGTCCCAATGCATCACCTATCAAATCTAATCCAATTAAACTAGATAATCCAACTAGTGGCTCAGTTAAAGGGTGCCCAGGAATCCACTCTCCCCAATAGGCAGGGGCTGAAAGGGGGGGGGCCCTAGAGGGGGCAGTGTCTGGTGGGGTAGGGCCTGCATGGGCAGGGCTAAGGCTAACTGAATCTGCAGGGCGGGGCCCAGTCAGGTAGGTGGGGCTCACCTGGGTCTCCCAGGCCTGGCGCCGGCTGAGCACCTGCTCCCTCAGCTTCTCCTGCAGGGCCTGCAGCTCTCGAGCCACCAGCTCCAGCTCCTGACACCCATGCTCAGGGATCCTAGGCAAGAACGTGGGCACAGCAGGGCCCTCTGGGGGACAGGCACCCAGGACTGTGTCCTGCAGAGATCCAAGCAAGAGGGTGTACACCAGGCACAGGCCTCCAGCCCACAGGGTCGAGGCTGCAAAGGCCCAGGAGACAGTGGTGACACTCCCACAGCCTGGGCAGCTATGACCCCCAGCACGTGCAAAAGCCCAACACCTTGGGGCATAAGGTAGGGCCTGAAGACAAGCCACATCATGGGCAGGTGGGTGCCGGGCTCCCTAAGGGCTCCTCTTCGTGTCCAGGAAGTAGGAAGTCCCCCATCTCCCAGGGTGTGGCCACCGCCCAGGCCAGGAAGGGAAGGGGCAGCGCGGGGGCCTCACCATCCACTGCCAGAAGATCAGCTCACACTGCCGCCACTCCAGAGCTGCCTCCAGCCGGGCATTCTCCCGCTCCAGTACCCGCAACAACTGTAGAGCAAGCAAGCTGGGCACTTCTGCCTGCACCAGTGTGTCTGCTGGCAGCCACAGGGCCTGGCTCCCAGGGCACCCGAGCATCTGCCTGAGAGCTTCAGGTCCCTTCTGCAGGGAAGGGTGGCCCTACAATCAACTAGACCCACCAGTCTACCCCTCCAAGCACACCTGTGGTCCCCACACCCACCCCATGGCAGGTCCAAGGCTCAGGGCTGACCCAGGTGCCTCTCCACCAGAGAGCTCTGCCATATACCCTGACTGGGGGGTGCACACATAAGAGGAGGCCTAGGAAGAGAGGGTGCAAGGCTCAGAGGGAGGGGAAGCCCAAAGGCTGGGAGGAGTTTGCACCGGCCCAAGTGGGAGGTGGCAAGGTGGGACACAGGCAGAGAACAGGACTGAGCTCTACAGGGAAGGGAGGATGAGATCAGGAGCCCTCCCTCCACCCTTCCACCTAGAACCTGCTGGCCCTGCACACACATGTGTACACACACACACACACACACACACACGCAGGCTGGCCCAGGAGATGCCCAGCACAGTATGCCCTGGCTCTACCTCTGCCTTCAAGGCACCTACCAGCCTGGCTGCAACTACAGCCTCCTAGCCCCTCCCTCCACCCAGATATCCTGAGTTGGAACCTCAGCCTGGTGGCTCCTCTCCAGACACAGATCACCTAGCACTTGACCCCTCCTTTGTGAGGACAAGGAGCTGGTGATGTATGGGCCAGGATGCATGGTGCACGTCAGGGCTGGCACAGAGTTCTGGCTCCCACAGAAAGGAGGGCACTCACTCATGGCGCTTGCACCAGGGCCCAGACCCCTGGGCAGGGACAGGACCCCGGCTGGGCAGCACATGCCAGGGCCTCTTCACCTGCTCTACAGGGAGGCAGAGAGCAGACCAAGGGGCTGGAGGTTTGAGGCTAGTTCGACAGAGAGTGGCCTTGAATCCCAGCCCTTGCCAGCCCATCCTAAGCCCAGCAGAGACAAGGTCAGGGACAGGCAGGAGCTAGTGCACACAGTGTGGCCCTAGACCAAGCCAGGCAGGCACATGGAGGAGCAAGTGGTCGCTTCCTCTCCCCTCCTTTCCCATCCCACTCCACCACCTCCCTGCCTCCCTCTCTGGCAGGGAAACAGATGGCAACAGGCTCCCCTGTGACCAGGGGAGCTGCTCAGCCACCCAACAGCATGTCTGGCACCACACCAGACACAGATCCTTCCAGAAGCTTCTGGGACCTGGCCCGACAGTGTAGGCCCTTCAAGCAGGCCAGATCTAAGCACTGGCCAGCTGCTCCTCCAGAACTTGGAAGGAAGACAACCATGGGCCCAGGCCACCCCACCACGGCTTCCCACAGTCCTGTGGCACCAACACACGCCAGCCTCCGGGTAAGAGGCACCTCAGCCCCCCAGGCTGCACCCCACAGAGGGCCCATAAGTGGTCCCATGCAGGCCCAGACTGAGCCTGGGCAGCCTCAGCTCTGCTCCAATGCAGGGATGGGGCTGAGTTACCTCTGAACGAGGGACAGGGCCAAGGGCATGTGGGGCACCCAAATGCTGCCTCAGCGCCTCCACACAAAGCACAGGCCCTACCTGAGCTGGGCTAGCTGGCACCAGGCTTGGCAGGTGCTACCAGAGGCACCTCAGCCACTGTGGGGTCCACAGCTGCCCAGAGCAGGCTCCAGGCAGAGATCTGCAGAAGCCCTGTAGCCGAGGCAGAACATCTGTCTCCCCTGGATCCCTAAGTCTCGCCTGCCCAAGGTTCAGGACAGCCAGAGGGTGCGGCCAAGCCTCAGGGAGGGGGGAGAAAGAAGAGAGGAAGGGACCAGGCTGGAAGGAGGATTGCCTCAGTCGGCTCCAGGCCTCCTTCCCAGCAGGACCTAGGAGGGCTGGGCGGCCCAAGCCACAGCTCAGGGTGCCCCAGACCCCCACTCTAATTAACAGTCAGCCCTGTCCTGACCTGGAAGCCCAAGGATGAAGGTGGCCAAGAGGAAAGAAGCAGAGGCAAGGGTGGGAAGAGGAAGGGGGACACGTCAGTGGGGGAAGGAGGCAGCAGAAGTAGGGGGAACTGGATGTGCTGGGGTGATACCTCAGACAGAGGACACCTGGGGTCCTAAGCCACTCAGGCTCAGTGCCTGCTTTCCTTTATACCTGTGCTCTCTGGGGCCCAGCCTCCTGCCTAGGACAGCAGGAGCCCATCACCCAGGGCACCCCTGCCTCAAAGGCAGCCAGTACCCATGGTCAGCAAGCAGGACTTTGGCCACCAGGCCTGCCCCGCTTCAGGTGACCCTTCCCACAGCCCCTGGCTCTGAAGCCAGCTACCCCCCCCACCCCGTGATACCCCCATGCACTCCAGGTTCACCCCAGACCCAAGGCCAGGATTCCTCATTCCAGTGGCCCCTTGCTCAGCCAGTTGTCAGCCCAGCCCAGCCCCTGAGCCCCTTCGGCTGCCCAACCTAGCTAGGGGCCAGGCATACACAACACCTGCCAGATGCCAGGAGAAGTAGACAGCCCCTGGGCAGGAAGAGGCCCAGAGGACACATTTGTCACCCATACCAGCAATGACAGTGAGCTTGGCAGACAGCTAGAGACAGCCACTGCTCAAAGCCAAAGACCAGCCCTAGGTCACCCCAACAGGCCTTGCCCATTGCAAATGGTACCCACCCTCACCTGCTGGCTGTCTTCTGGGTCCCTAAGCATCTCTGTTTCAGTGACAGACAGGTGGCCAAGGTTCTGGTCGCTGTGGCAGCCATGGGTGTACGTGTGGATCTGAAATGGGTAACATAGATCCCAGGCTATGTGGGTGACAGTGCCCCCAGTACCGGGCCTCCTGTGGGAAGACTCTGGCCAAAGGAGTAATTGAAGTGAATGTGAAAAGGGACCTTGGGAATAATAGTTCCCGTGCTCCTGGAATACATGGCTAAGTTTAGAGTAGATCTGCAGGATAACAGTCAGCAGAATCAACAGTAAGTTATTCTCAGAGATGTTTGCTTCAGCCATTGTGTCCCCTCTGCTCCAATAAGATTGCTTAAACTAGGTCAACATGTGTTGCATAACAAACCACCCCATTCCTTCCTTGCCCCTGACCAAAACTCCTATACAAATGTTGTAAGTGCTTTTCTTCTGTATCTTTGTTCTCACGTCCTTGAGTTACAAATAAATAACTTACAGAGGTCTCTCAGCTTGTTGGTTTCCCTAAGGCTTTCTCATCTGGAGAAGCAGCCTCTGTGGGTCTCTCAGTGATTGAACTAAGCCATGTCTCCAAGCAATCTTTACATCCTTTACACTGCCGTGGTTTCACACTGCAACAGCCTCTATCACTCAGCTTGGGCACCCTGGAGAGCCTTCCACCAGCATCACAGATGAGGAAAAAGGCTGAGAGAGGCCACACCTTACCTGAGGCTGGCCAGGACAGGACTGAGCTCAGGACAGCTGCCAGCACCCTGGGGCCCCTACAACGAAGCTCCCCAGGGGTATGGCACAGTGGAACAGGGCCTCCCATTCTGCCTGCAGAGTGGCAGGCTCTTGAAGCTGCAGACCTGTTGACCCCAATGACAGGGCAACACAGCAGTCCCTCAAGGCCAGTGGTGGGGATGCAGAGTGATCACCTAGCTGTAGGGGAAAAGGAGAACTGCCAGACGTGAGGGCAGGGGGCAGCACAGACATTAACGGGTGGGGGCCACCAGGGCCAAGGCCAGGTAAGAAGGAGTGGTGCCCTTGGGAGAAGCTGTTGAGACCTCTGTGGGGGCTGTCAGCCCTCACCCCATGCTGAGCATGCTGCTGGGCTGCTGGGCCCACACCAGTGGTCCTTTCAGAGGCCCCTACAAGTCAGGCACTCAGGAAACTGAGACAAGAGCATCCCAAGTTCCAGGCCAGCCTGGGTAACTAGTGAGACCATTTTCAAAAAGGGAAGAAAAAAAAAAGCTCCCCTGCCCCAATTCAGCCATAGCCAGGATGGGGGCCCTCTAGGCCTAGGAGGCAGAGTTCCTCCGTGCCCCAGAAGTCATTCCCAGAATTACTGATGTGGAGTCTGAAAGCCATAGTGACTTTTGGTGACAAGAAAGCCCACCCAGTGAACTCTGTGACACCCGCCTTCCACTCTACCAGCAAGCCCAGCCAGCCCCAGCCAGCCCACACTTTCAGCTGGAAGCCTGGGCTCAGCCCCTCCAGGCCTGGTGCACAGGGTGAGGGGAAAGGCAGCCTGGGGCCTGGGCCCAGGGGAGCTGCCCTGGTAGGAAGCCATGTGCCCACCCTACCTTGCTCAAGAGGGCACACTGCTCCTGTTGACTGCAGATCAAGCTCCGCCACCGGAACCGTAGTTTTCCCATCAGCCACTGCAGGCGGCGGAGGTCCACAGAGCGCCTTGCATCCACTTGGGGTGCAGCCAGGCCAGGACTGGCCAGGGCCTCACACTGTGGGGGAACAAGTATCAGGCCCTGCTTGCCGTAACTGTGAAGGCCAAATGGGGAGGATGCTGCCTGGCAGGACTAAGCCTCCCAGCTCAGCTGGCCCAGGGCTGCCCCAAAGTCACATGCAGGGGGGCTGGCCCTGCCCAGCCTTGCTGTGGCCACAGGAACCCTGGAGTACCAGGGATTCTAGGCAGGCCTGGCCCGGTTCACCCTCACTCTACACGCACCTCGAACGTGGGCACCTGGTCACCCAGCTGCACGCAGGTCTGGGACAGCAGCCACTCCAGCAGGGGCACTCGGGCCAGGAGCCAGGAAAAGGCCAGCAGCAGCTCCCTGCTGCCCTGGGAGCCATCTTCTGGGAGCTGTGCTAGAGCTGGCCTCGGGTAGCCGCAGTAGTGCAACACCACCTTCACCCAGCGGGCTTGGGCCCCTGAAGGAGACCACCCGTTTAGAGGGACCCCCACCTGCACGTGACACCACCTGATCCATCTGAAGACCCCACAGACTCCCCAAGCAGCGGCCCATCTCAGAGGAAACCGTGGGCAGGGGGGCTGACTCCAGTCAGGATGAGGAAGGGCGGGGCCGGTGCTACCCAGGTGAGCAAGGCCAGCGCCCGCTGGGTGTGGCTTTGCCTGGAGCTGGGCTTTACAGAGTGGGGCTGGGCCAAGGCCGGAGGGGTGCAGGACCAGCCCCTGGGGCCATGTCTTTGTCGTGAGGGCATGGCTTATCGTGGAGAGGCCACCTACCCCGGCCCAGCGAGGCTGCGGCGCAGTTCGCCCGGAGAGGCGCGAGCACTCGGAAGAGGAGCCGCCAGAGCACTGGGGCCTGTGGCGAAGAAGGAGCCAGCTGTCAGCGGGGCCGCGCCGCCCGCTGCGTCTGCCCAGAACCACGCCCAGCCCGGGCGCCCGGCACCCGCCCCGCAAGCCTCACCGCCTCTGGATGGTCGAACTTGGCGCGGCGGAAGATCTCGGGGCTAGGCCCGGCTGGCAGCGACCGACTCAGCGTGGCGATGGCCTCCGGCAGTGTCCTGGGCCCGGCTCCCGTCCAGGCCGCAGCCCCTCCGTCCATCCCGCGCCGCTACCTACCCAAACAGTCCGCAGCAGGCCTTCTAGGATTGCCCGCCCGGGTCCCCGCACCCAATCACCGCCGCCTAGGTCCGGCGGCGACCAATCACTGTGCCGGCAGGGTCCACACACCAGCCTGCAAAAGCACTTCCGGGCTTCGGGGGTGGGCCTTAGGTCCAGGCAGCTCTGTCGAGTCCGAACTCTGGGGCCCAATCTCCGCCCGACACCCTACCTCGCCCCGATCCTGCCAATCAGCGAGCCACCAGTCACCTAGCAACCGTGGGCGGTCATCACCTGCGTGGGGTTAAAGGGGGCGCTAATGCCAAAGGCGCCCCCTGGAGCCGTGGAGGACCGCGGAACCGAGCCCCACCCAGCCGGGCCGGCGTCCTACGCAGAGCCTCCTGGGCCCCGCCGCCAGGAGGCACACCAGGCCCCGCAGCGACTCCTCTCAGAGCAAGCGCCCGTGGCAGGCAACAACGCTGGGGACACCCAGCCCCCGTGTCCCGTCCCAGCTCCCTCTGCCCAGCCGCACCTGCAGCCTTCCCTTGCCTGTCACCCAGAAGCTCCCCCGCACGGCCCCGCAGCCGTCCCCGGTGCAGAGAAGGACGCGGCCCAGGCCTGGGTGCACATCTGGAATGGACGGACAGCGAGTAGTGCTCCCGTGCACCTTCCAGCCCGCCGGACGCGCGACCGCTCGGTTCTTGCCCGCCCGCCCGCCCGCCCGCCCGGTACAGCTACCCCGGCTGCGAGCCCCTCAAGCGTAAAGTGCGCCTCCTTCTTGCTCAGCCCTGACGCCCGTAGCTTTGGTTTCCCCGCACCCCACCCTGGTTAGTCCCTCGGGGCTCTTCTAGCCTGGCCCGGCGGACCCCACTTCCCACAGGCCTCCATGCGAGCGCAGGTGGTGCACCCCAAGCCTGCCCCAACTAAGACCTTGAGCTACCCGGGTGCAGAAGTCTCGCTGGTGGGACCCCGGGGACAGGAACCGCAGCCCCACGCCCTACACCGCAAGGCCCGCTCTGGACTCCAGGTGTAGCTGGCCCTCAGTCACCCACCCGACCTCCCACGGGGCAACCGGCAGCTCAGACCTGCTCAGCATCCCGGCTCGGCCTGTCCCACCCCGCTCATTGCACAGAGCGATGTTCTGTGCCTCCTGGAGTTCCAGAATCGCCCACTCACACTCACACAGACGCACACGTGCTGCCGTACAGATCATCCGGGTGGCTCTTGCCGCACCGCCCGACCAGACTGAGGCTTTCTGAGCTATTCAGCTCCAAAGGTGAAGTCGAGGGGCCAGGGAGAGATGGCCTGAGGTGGGCAGGAGTCTGACACAGGGTCACCAGTGAGCAGCGCTGCCTCAGTTGACCAGGGAGTTTCCAGAAAGCTCCCTGCATGACCAACAGCTAGCACCCAAACTCCAGGCCACTGGGGAAGTTCCTGGGCAGGGAGGAGGGCTGAAAGGGAACCCTACATCTGGGTCCCTGCTGAGCAGCTGCGCACACCCCAGCAAACACGTGGTCCGTCCTGAGAGGAAGGGGACTGGGGTGGGGTAGCAAGAAGTGGGAAAGGACCAGGCGAGAAGGTCTCACCACAGCTCCCCAGAGCATCTCCAAAAGGAAGCAGAGGGCTGGGGATTTAGCTCAGTGGTGCCAATGCCTGCCTCGAAGGCACAAGATCCTGAGTTCGATGCCCAGTGCCAAAAGAAAAAAAGGAAGCAGCACAGTTCCAGCAGATTCACACCCTGACCTGGGCCAGCGGAGCCTCAAAGCTCCACCCACTCCAGTCTCCTCTAGCCCTTTGGCCCTGGCCTCACCTTGGGCTAGTACCACCCAGGGCAGGGGCACCTCTGCAGGTCTGGGCATTGGGAGGAGACCTGGACTCTTGCCCTTCAGATGGGACTCCAGCCGTGGTAGACCCCCAACAGGGTGGCAGCAGTGCCCACTGCAGTGGGAGGAGCAGGGACACTTTGTGGAGCTTCCTGTTTCCCTCCACTGCCCACTGGCTCACATGTGGGTGGTACAGTGCACACAAACACACACGGGTCTTCCAAGGGTTCAGGTTTAATGAGGACATGAGGGGCTGCTGGGAGCCCTGGGTGTCTGGGTGTAAGGCTTGGCATCTGCCTGGATGACCAGTGGCCCAGCAAGTGGCCAAGGATGGGGTCTCCAAAACCTGTACAGAGAGGCAGGGCAGATGTGAGCACAGTTCCAACCCCTGCCACCAAGCCCCGTGCATGGCCAGACCCCAGGTTGGGTGGGCTGATGGCAGTGGAGGCAGTGTTATACCTGGGTCTACTTGAAGGTGTGACTTTCAGCACCACCCCGCCCAAAGCCTGCAGGATAGAGAAGGGTCAACAGGTTAAAACGCAGGGCTCCATACTGGGTCAGGGTCCCAGGCCAGGGTCCTCAGAGCATACCTTTGGGCCCAAACATGGCAGAGTAGCAGGGGTGGTTGCAGTAGGGCTTGCCTTCATGCTGCGGAGAAAGGGGCCATGAGGCGGACCCATCCCCCACACCAGCCCACCGCCAACCTGCCCCCACCTACCTCAGCATGACCCCCGGAAGTCAGCGTCTTTCCACACTTTTCACACTTCAGACAGGGCCGGTGCCAGTCCTTGCCCAGTGAGGTCACCCGCTCAGCTGCAGAGCAGACCCTCCCTGAGTCCCTGCTGCTGGGCAGCCACATCCACCCCTTGTACGCCCCTGCTCCTGTCCATCCACTGGGTTCTCTCCACTTGGCAGTCCACCTTGGTGTCTCACCCTGTCCCTTCCCAAAGGAAACTCCTCAGTCCCCTTAGCCAGAACAAACCAGAAGGGCCACTTCCTAGGAAGCTCAAGGGCATGACTCCGTGGGGGGGGGGGGGCGGTGGAGAGGCACCCCACGGCTGGGCCTGGGCCAGGCTACTAAAGTTAAGGACTCTGGCCTCAGCCCCTGTGTCTGGTGGGGCCCGAGGGACCTTTCTGCTTCCGTCCTATCGTGTACGCCCTGGGGTGCACGGGGCGGGAAGATGGGCCCTAGGGACCCAAGCGGGACGAACTGCGCCGGGGGCACGGGTTTCTGCGCCTGTTTCCGTTTAGTGCTAGGGGCCGCCCCGCCGGCTTCTTCCCGCCCTTCGGGAACCCCGCCCAGGGCGCGCCCAGCGGGGGAGCGCATTGGGACCCGGCGTCAGAAGCCGCGGAGACCCAGAGACCAGGGGTGCATAGGGTCACCGAGACAGGAGACCCAGACCCAGAGACGAGGATCATGGGGGACAAAGGGAATGGAAAACAGAAGGTCACAAGAAACCGGAGATTAGAGGCGGGGAGCACAGGCAGAGATACCGAGTGGGCAGGGATGGCAGGACCATCAAGGCAGGGCTCCCCACCCTCCCACCCAGGTGGTGCCCAGCCCCGCCGCTCCACGCCCTCCTGGTGGCGGGGGCCGTAGCTCCCCGGTCTTCCCCTCCGAGCCGGATCGCCTCGGGCCGGCTTCCGCGTCGGCCCTGGCAGAGCGCTCACCGAAGTACACCTCCTTGTCGCATTTGGGGCACTTGGGCATGGCGGAGCGTCCAAGACAGGGGCTGCAGCGGTGCTGGAGACGGCTGTGGGCGCGGGACGGGGTGGAACCCTCAGTCCTCGCCTTTGAGGGACCCCGGGGCCCCGCCCTTGATGCCCCGCCTCCGTGCCCCGCCCCAGAGTCTGGACTTGGACCTCGGGACCGCAAATGGAGGCGGACCAGCCGAGAACTGGGAACTGCCCACGCGCGCCCCAGGCGGGACCTGCCTGGCGAGGGCCGAACTGGAGCTCGGAGACCGCGGGGATCCCTGGGGCGGGGGCCCGGGAGCCTCCGCCTGGCGCATCTCGAGGTCCCATGAACCAGGCAGCCTGGAGGTGTGCCCCGCCCCAGGCCACAAGCTGCACCTGCCAGGGTCCGAGATCTGTGGGAGCCATGGAGGGTACAAGGTCACTTCTAAAGTGCAGAAAGCGCGAATTAGCATGTGAGAGTATGCTCACTTTCTGTTCTCTTAGGAAGAGGGCTGGGGACACATCTCAAGAATCTCAACACTGCTCAGGTCTTCCAGCCCACCAGGCCCAAGGGGCATTCCAACCTCTGTCAGTTCCCTTTGCCTGCTGCTGTCTTGAAACTCCGTGGGATGGGGCCCAGGGATTTAGCTCAGTGGTTCCACCGCCTGCCTTGAAAGCGCAAGGTCCAGAGTTCCATCCCGGGTACCAAAAAAGCAAAAACTAAGAAACTTCATGGGATGCAGTGGACATCCCTGGGGTATTTGGAAGAGGGAGCTCCCAGCCAGAGCAGCTCCTCCTCCACAGGACAGCAGAGCCTGAATTTGGGGACCAATGAGCTGGGGGCAGAGGAGGAGGCCACCCCTAGGCTGCCTCAGGGATTCCCAGATAGGGAGGGTGTCTTATCTCTGGGAAGCACCTGGCACTCAGAGCGGTCCAAGTCCGAGCCCAGCTAAGGTGGAGGCGGTCCAGCTGGTGCCAGGCAGAGACGGTCCTGTCCTGCCCCGAGAACGAGGAAGACTGAGGGCCTATCGCTGGCCCAGGGAAACCCTAGGGGTGAGGTCTACAGCTCACAGAGGGGGCCCTGTGGAGTCCTCCTTAGCTCAGACCTCTTCCTGGGTGGGGTCTCAGCCTAACATTCCAATACTGGGGTCACAGGCAAGCCCCATATTCATAGATCCCTCACTTCCTGCTCTGCTGTCCCCTGCTGGAAGGATCCACCTCTCCCAGCCCCCAGGCCTTCCCCTTGCCCTGTCCCACCTCCTTCAGCCTCTCCTTGCCCCAACACACCCATCTCAAAAGCAAGATGACTGGTGGGGCGTCGGGGCGCACACCTGTGATCCCAGCACTTAGGAGACTGAGGCAGGAGGATGGCCATGAGTTCAAGGCTGGCCTGAACTGCACAGCAAGACCCTGTCTCCAAACCAAACCAAACCAAAAGAAGCAAGATGTCACTTTGGGGCTGTCCTGGCCTCTTCCTGCACCAGTACAACCCACCCTCCCCAGCCCTTGTGCTCCACCCTGACTGCACCTGGGTATCCCCATGCCCCCTTCCCTGAACCCCACCTGCCCACTGCCACTTCCAGGCCTAGCTGGGAAAGAGGGAAAGCCATGGATGCCCTGTGACCAGGACATCACATGTCCCTCACAGAGGCCACAACTCCAGGGAGTCCCCACCCATGTAACCAGGGCTCCTCTTTGCCTTCCCCTCAACCCCCCTCTGAGGCCTGACTGGGGTTCTCTACAAGCTCTGAGGTCCATAAGGACATGGAGGCCATCGGTGGCTAGGGCTCCCAGAACAGGGGTGCACACAGTCCCTGCAAAGACAGACCTTTCCTGGGCCAGGTAGACCTTAAAAGCCACCCTGAGATGGGCCATCAGCTTGCTCTGCTGGGCACAGGCACCATTGGGTGGCTCCTGGTCTCAAGGCCGCCAGCCCAGTCCTGCTCCACCTCTCCTGCCCATCCCTTAGAGTCTCCTCTCAAGTCTAATAACAAGGAGGCAAATCCTGACTTCCCAGTCCCCTGACCCCTGTGAGTAGTGGGGCCCTAAGGAGACAGGGACACAACCAGGGCAGAGATACAGACACATGGGCAGAGGCATCCAGGGGGAGGAGTGCTAGGCAGAGCCCCGATTACATGGGAGAGGCCAGGGAGGGATGGAGGTCCTCATCGTGCAGTTCCCAGGGTGCTCATCATCTCACCGTTCTAGGAGCCCAGGGCAGCCAGCATGTGGCTCCACCTCGGAGCCATGTACACCAGGGTCCAGAGCCTTGGTCTCACACACACACACAGACACACACACACACACGCACAGGCTGCAGGCATCCTGTGCAGTTCCATCAGGGACTTGGGGTCACACATGGAGTCCCAGAGCACATGGCCAAACATGTTTCTGTCCAGCCTCACCCACCCAGGCTCTGAGACAGGTGTCTTAGAGCTTCAACCAGGTGACTTTTTTTTTTTTTTTTGGTACCGGAGATCGAACTCGGGTCCTTATGCCTTTGAGGCAGGCGGCAGAACCACTGAGGTAAATCCCTGGCCGCCAGGTGACATTTTCGAGGGAAGGTGGGGCAATGCTCCAGTACTGAGCTCCTTCCACTGCCCCACTCAAAGGAGAATTCCTCCCACACCCAGACCACAGCCCTGCCCTGCCAGGGAGCCCCCCTGAAACCCTTGATGAGTCCTTCCTGGCCACCCCTGTTGTTGTTCTCATTACCATGGTCACAGGGTGGGGGAGAGATCCCAAGGGAGGCAAGGGCCATGGGCCACACCCCTGTGTTAGTACACAGTGGTTTTTCCAGGCGACTCAGAGGCATACTCATAAAGACATGCACACACACATGCACACACACATGCACACACACACAGGACATGTAGACATACACAACCACACTCAGGCACACACAGAGAATACAGATGCAGACACACACAGAGAATGCAGACACACACAGACATGAAGACAAGCATACAGCTCACACACAAAGGCATGCGCGCGCACACACCATCCCTGGACCCCTCCCAAATTCTAGCCACAGGCTGATGTGGCCTCAGCTGCCCTTTCTCTCTCTGCTCCTCATGGTCGGTCCTGCCTGTGGGTGGGTCTCTCATCAGCTGCAGCCCCAGCTGTGTCCTCCACTCAGACTTCACATCCCTGTAACTAACCCCAAAACCAGTACCTGTGGGACACTTGCCCACACAGGTGCTAGGCCACTGCTCCCCTGAGCTCAGCCCAATTTGTCTTGCAACCTGACTCAGGACCACTCCACCTCTGCCATTGTGCCGGAGGCCACCCACACAGAGTGGAGAGGGTTGAGGACAGGACACTGAACTCCCTGAGGCCTGCCTCAGGGGCTGTGTCCAAACGTTCAGCCCTTTCCGGGACAGTGTGAAAGCACGGAGACCTGGGGGAATTTAGGATTCCTTCCCAGCTGTGGGCCTCCTTTCTGCACACACCCCTGCGCCCCCCACTGGCCAGCCAGAGAAGGCAGGACTGGGTCCAATGACCCCTGAGGAATCACCACCACTGCCACGTGGAAAGAGGCCCGCCCTTCCAACTGCTGAGCAAGGCCTCTGCCCACACATTCACCCCGAACCTAGCCCAGGGCCCTGCTGAGGGTATGTACAGGTGTGAAGACTCTCCCAGGGCTGCTGGCAAGCCCCTAGCACCAAGGTGCCAACTCAGGCTGCAGTAAAGTGTGTAGGGGTGAGGGGAAACCAGCTGAGGCCTCCAACCCCCACCCTCCCTGCAGGAGCAGTCCAAGACAGTCACAGTTCCCAGGGCCTATTTTCAGCAACTTGTCTCCAGGGACCCCGGCTGCCCAGGGACCTGCCCCAATTGGCCTGCTGGGCCAAGGCCCATGGCTGGGTGGGGAGGGCTGGACCCTGCTTCCCAGCCAGGTTCCTTCACCCTTCAGGGCCTATACCTCAGGCACAGCTGAAGGGCACTCAGCCTCCTCCTCTCCAAGAGGCAGCAGGACAGGGTCAGGGGGCTGGTGTGGAGGGGTGGGGGCTCCCCAGCTGGCCCCTTCCCAACAGGACTATACCCCTGCCTGGCCTTCAGTCTGGCCAGATGGGGTGCCCCTCCTTTTCCCTTCCCCTGGGGCTGGGCCTGCTGCCCAGTCTGCTTCCTGGAACCAAAACCCTGGCAGAACCGCCTTGAATTCCAGCCTCACTGTCCAGCCACTGAGGTTCTGTTCAGGAGCCAGCATCTGAGCCCACTGCAAAGCCAGCCAGGCCCTGGGAAATAGCTGCCCACACCTGGTTGCCCTGGTCCCTGACCAGTCCTTGTGTGTGCCTGCCAGAGGTCCGTGGTGATTTCCTGCTCTCCAGCCCACCAGGTTAAAACCAGCTGCCAGTGAGCTGGACCCACGGACAGCAGGGCATTGTGCCGCCACCCCAAGTCCTGCAGAGGTTCTACTTTTTTTTTTTTTTTTTTTGTATCAGGGATGGAACTCAGGACCTTGCATTTGCCAGGCAGGAGCTATGCCGATGAGCTAAATCCCCCCACACAGAGGTTCTGGAAAGAGCCTGAGCAAGATGGGGCCTGCAAGGAGCTAGGGCTGGAGAAGATGCCAGGCCCACTACAGGGTCACTGCAGAGGAAGCTGGGTGGGGCCTGGAGGATGAGCCTTGGAGACAGGCAGTCTAGGACTTGGGAAGTGGGGACAGAGGGGGCCACAGACTGATTCCTCCCACTGAGATGCCTGGGTGGGAACTCCAGCTAGGGTTCCACTGGCACAGGGACAGCACCAGGCAGGGAGGGGTGTGTCTGGGAGCATCTTGGAGGAGAGACCTAGGTGAGCCCAGGGCCTTGGAACAATGCTGTGCAGAGCCCTGGACAAGGCTCCTTATGGGCCTCTACATGCAGCTCCCAGAGGTCCTGAGAGAGGACAGAGGAAGTCAGATGACATTTTGGAGTCAGCTCACTGGCTGGGTGAGAGTCAGAGGGATAAGGCTGGTGGGCAGCCTCCTGGAGGGGTGAGGAAAGCTGGATCCCAGGGCAAAAGCACTCGGTCCCCCTCCTCTCCTCCCTCGTGGGGGCATTGGGAGCTGGTGCCACCAAAAGAGCCTGAGGTGGTGCATGGGACACCACCTGGCAACAAGGCCCAGACAAACAGTAGCAGCAACGCCCCAGTTTCCAAGGCAACCCCTCAGAAACAAACACAGCAGCGTCATCTTCCCCAGCAGGAAATGGCCTGGTCTTGCCTGCTCCTGCCTGGGTGGGGGAACACTGCTGACCACAGGGACAAGGGACCTATCTGCTGATCTGCGGGCAAGACTGCTGTCTCTCAGCTCCTCAGCCCAGCAAGGCTTCTTGCCCTGATTTGGGGAAGGTCCCCTCCATGGTTTCCTCCCACTCTGCAGAGGGCAGAACATCGCCCAGCACCAGGAGCCCAGGAGAGTGGGGAGGGCTCCTGGGCGGTGAGCTCTGGGCTAAAGCTGAAACTGAGCCTCTTGGCGGGGAGGGGCCAGCTGGGCCTTTGAGCAGGTGTATGTGACTGACACCTGCTTCAACCCCTCCTCCGTAGGGAAACTGTGCTGGCTACAATCCAGGCTGCATGGGAGGCAGTGGCAGCACTGCTGGGCACCAGAGCCAGCCGATGCCCTGCACCCAGGCACAGGAACACAGACACGGCTCACAGGATGACAGGCCTGGCTTCCAGACTCAGTCACACCGGCCCACGTCCCGGAGGGGGTGTGCACAGGCCTGGTGGGTCACTTTGCTCTGTAGAGTGGCCAGGTCTGAGAGCCCCTCGCTCCAGGTGGGTGACAGGGTATGGTGCCCTGCTGGAGGAGAAAGAGCCCAGGGCTGCCCCACAATACTGCAGTAGCTGAGCCAAAGCACAGGAACGCCCTCTCGTGGGTGTCCTCAAAGTGGCAGGTGGCAGGAGCACCCAGTGAGGAGGAGGCTGTAGGCCCCTGGGTATCCAGGCAGGAACCTAGGTCACATGTGGAGCCGAGACAACCTCCTTTATCACTCTAGACCCAGCCACTGAACACCTGGGCAGAGACAGGCTGAAGCCCCCAGCCCGAGATGAGTCACCCTCACCCACTAGAGGCTCGCCAAGTAAAGAAGATGTCATCCTGGGAGGGGCCAGACCTGTCCTGGCTACACCCCCCAACCTTCTGGGCCTCCACCACAGGCCGCAGCTGCCCACTCACCCCTCACCAGTGCCCCATCCTTTGCACAGAACCCTCTGCTGGTCACCTGCCCACCTCAGTCTCCTGGCTCAGTGCTTGCTGCTATTTCCGAGGTCTGGGTCCAGCTGCAAGAACCACCTCCCTGGGGTCTCAGAATGAACACCATCCCACTTCCCTCACCTGGACCCCTTCCTGGGATGCCCCTTCCTCTGCCCAGTCTGGCCCTCCCCAATGTCCACCAGCCTTAGTGATGGTCCCAATGCCCAAACCAGATCCCTCTCAAACAGCTTTGGATTCCACCTCAGCCAGGGGCCCTGGGTGGGAGCATGAGTGGACGGGACAAAGGGACACCATCCTAGAGTCACACACACATCTCACAATCACAGATACAGACTGGGTCTTGCAATCCCCAAACCTTTATTGACAGCAAAAGTCTCAGGACCAAATGTGAGCCATGTGAGGGTAAGGAGACAGCATGGGGGCCAGGCAGAAGAGTGACCCCACCCTGGGGACGCTGTGAGCAGGTGGCCATCACTGGCAAGCTGCAGCATAAATATTGGTGGACAGGCATGGGCAGCAGGAGGAGGGCAAGACAGCCACCTCAGAAAGCCACCAGGGTCATGGGGACACATGGGACATGGAGAATGATGGGCACAGGAGCACACAGAAGGGGCTGTGGGGACACATGGGACCCCATGACAGAGACACACCACAACATGGGCTGGGCTTGGGCCGCTCTGCAGATGGCTTCTGCCTCCTCCTCCTCCTGGCACGCAGGACACACTGAGGCAGGGGGCAGCAGGTCACTGTCCCCCACAGAGCTAGACAGGGGGCCTGGGCAGGATCAGCAGGAGGCAGATGGACCCCGCCCCACAGAAGGGAGGGGTCTAGGGCTGAACAGTGCCTTCGGGGTCTCTGTCATAGATGTAGCTGCCCACAGCCCCGGTATTCACTCCTGTGGAGAGAGGTGGCTATAGTGGCCAGGCAGGGACAAGTTGGGGCCTGGGCAGGGGAGGGAGTACCTACACCCTGCACTCCCTGGCTACACTCACCCTTGGGTCCAAAGAGGATTCCATAGCAGGGCTTGTGGCAGTAGGGCTGGCCATCATGCTGCAGGCAGAACAGGGACAATGCTGGGCACAGACCCTTCTCCCCACTCCCCAGAGGTGGCAAAGGCCATGACCTGTGCTCTCCCTTCCAAGAACCCTGTGGCTCCAAGGCCAAGTTCAGGCTTGCTTACCTTGGGGGTCTCCTGGACCCCCAACCTTCCTGAGGACTCAACCTGTGCTCACCTCTGCATGCCCACCTGGAGTCAGCGTCTTGGCACAACGCTCGCAGCGCAGGCATGGCCGGTGCCAGTCCTTGCCCAGAGATGTCACCTTCTCAGCTGCAAGGGAGGGGCAGGTGACAAGGCTGCCCACAGACTCCCTGAGGCAGGGTGGGGCGGGGGTCACTTACCGAAGTAGACCCTCTTGTTGCAGCGAGGACACAGGTTGGGCTCCCCGGTGAATGTGGTCACACTGGAGGCTGCGGGCAGGTGGGGTCAGGGCCACCAAGGAACCCTGGCCCCACTGCAGTCCCTCCTCAACCTCCCACCTCCACCACCCACAAGGACTTTACCTCTGCTGGGCCCCCTTGGGGGGCCACTAGCCTTCCGCTCCTCAGCACGGGCTGCAGGGGCCTCAATGGGGCCAGTGACCAGAACACCCTCCGAGACAGGCTTCTCATAGACGTAGGAGCCTGCACCACCAATGTTCACACCTGCAGGTGTTGGGGGTGGGTGGGCAATGGCCAGGCACACAAACCCACCCAAGGTGGGCTTTTGGGAACCATGGGGCCAGGGCACCCACACTGCACCAAGACTGCTGGAGATCAGCAGAGGTCATGCCCTGTGCCACTCACCTTTGGGTCCGAACAGCGTGGCATAGCAGGGCTTGTGGCAGAAGGGCTTTCCATCGTGCTGGGTAGAGGGTGGAGTCAGGGGTCTGGCTGCAGACCCTGCCCCTCCCCCAACCCCTCCCTCCCCCACTCACCTCTGCATGGCCCCCTGGTGTCAGCGTCTTGGAGCAGCGCTCACACTTGAGACAGAACTTGTGCCAGTCCTTGCCCAGGGAGCTCACCTTCTCAGCTGCAAAGGGTGGGGTGGGCTCAGGGCCCCTGCACTCACCGGGCCGCACTGTGCCCCTCGCACCCTAGCTCAGGCACCTAGCACCCCTCTGTGCCTGCTGTGACTCCTGGGTGCACTGCTCCCTCCAACACCTGCCCTCTCTCCCTGGCACCTGCCTCCCCCACATCTATCCTCCCTCTCCTCTCTTCCTGATGGCCTCTCCCTGCAAGGCCCCTGAGCTGAGGGGAAGCCCTCAGTCTGGGCTTTGGGAAAGCTAATCCTCCTCCCATAGGACCCCAGGCAGAACCCCATCTGTCTATATTTGGCCTCCTCTTCCTAAGCCCTGAGATTCCCCCACCCTGCTGCCTCCAGCTGCCGCCTGGGCGCCAAAGGTCTGAGGCCAGCTGCTGAAGATCAGGTGCCTGCCATCCCCACCCTGTGGGGGGATGCCCAGGCACCTCCCAATGGACGGAAGTCAGGCATCCACATGAGGCAGAGGCAGGAAAAGGGTGGAGAGTAGGGCAGGAAGAAGAGCTGGCCCACAGCCGGAGTTCCACAGGGAAGAAGCCAGACGAGGCGTCCAGGAGAAGTGTCACTAGCGAGGCTCCAGCCACCCTGCTGAGTGCCTCTGAGTTGTACAGTGTCCCCTCCTAGGCCAGGCCTCCCCTGGACTTCCTCCCCACCCCTGACACAATCTACCCCAGAGCCACAGGGGAGCTGCTCTGAGGCAGCAAACCCGGATCCTCCAGGTGGCCCCAGTGGGGCTGACTCTGGCTCTCCAAAGCCCTGAGGGAAACTGCTGGGCACAGCCCAAAGGCCACCTCCTGGACCCTGCCCCACCCCCGCGTGTCCCCACAACACAGGGCAATATCTGATCAGGGTCCTTCGGGGCTGCTATGTGCACCAGGGTAGGCAGGGCCAGCTGGGAGGAAGGCAGGCTTGGCCTCCTTGGTGGCCTGGAACCCTCTGGTAGCACTGCAGTAAGGAGGTTGTCTGGATGGCCATCGGCGGCTGTGGCAGCTGCAGTTCAAGGCTGCCAGAAGCATGCTGCCTCAGCTAGCTCCAGGACATGGGCCATGTGGGGGCAGACAGCTGACCTGCCGACTGCTGGCTGGGTCAATGGCCACATTAGAGGCTGGAGCTGGGAACAGAGGATCGATCAGGCTAATGGCTTTGAGAGAGCCAGCTCCCTGCCCAAGCTGCCTGTGCTCTGGGGGACACAGAGGCACGGCACCCTGAGGTCCCCCTGGAATGTCCCCACTGAGAGGGTCCACTCCAGCATGGTCTGCTGGGGCACAGGACCCTAAAACCCCTGCTAGTCCCTTACCACTGCCTTGGACGGGACAGAAGCCAGCTGGGTCTGAGGGCCTGTGTTCCTGCTGAGAACCCAAGCCAGCAGAGTGCTTTTCCGGGTTGCCTGTTGGACCAGGCCCCAGAGAGCCCGGAGCTGGCAAGGCCTAGAGGAGAGACATGGAGGTCCCGGAGAGTGTCCCCACCCTGAGCCATCTCTGCAACAGGGAGGAGGGCTGGGCTAGATCCCCAGGAGGCAGAGGCGGAGGAGGCAGAAAGCCCCTGAGGCGCCCAGGCCAGAAGCACTCCCAGCAAATCCGGGTCCTCCCCGTGGGAAGAGTAAACCACTGTGTGGAGTCTCCTCCTCCAGTCAGCAGGGAAGTCCAGAGGCCTCCTCCACATCCTAGCCACCGACCATTGTTCCTGGGATGACCAGGGAAGGGACCCTACCCTTCTGCTACCCTCCATTCTGGCTGGCCCACTCTGTCCCTCTGTGGCAAAGTGGGGAGGGCCGCAGCCAGAAGGAACAGGGCAGGGGGTGCCGCACAGGGATCACAACGAGCAGGCCAGGGGCCGGTGAGCACCGGAGAGGGGGTTCTCGGGGCATCTGGGGGGACAGACCAGCCCCTTCCGTCAACCTGTGCTTGTGCCCCTCCGCCCGGACCTCCAGGAGCCCGGGATCCTGGCCACCTGCTGCCCTCTCAAGCTCTTGGGACCTACAAGTCAACTCCATCCCCGCTCCACCCCAGCCACCTCCGTGGGAACCTGAGGGGGAACTCGCTAGGGAAGAGAGCGCGTTGGGACACGCGGCAGGCGAAGGCCAAGGTCGCTCCCCCGGATAGAACCGCGTCGCCACTGGCCCTGGCCTCGCGGCCCGGGGAGACGTTGGAGGGGCTGGGGTCACGGCTCCCGCCACGCGCTGGTGGGCGGCGGATCCAGGCGCTGAGGGGATAGCGGGGACCCCTGAGGCTGAGCGAGGGCCATCTCAGGCCACTGCCCCGCCCGACCCTGACGGGCCCACCCGCGTATTTGGCGATGGTCAGAGTGGAACACGCTGAGCAACGTCGCCGCTCAGGCGCTGACAGCCCCACCCCGGCCACGCCTGCGTGGGCAGCGCGGCAAGCCAGCACTCGTGGGCGCGGCGGGGTGGCGGGGCCGGCACTCACCAAAGTACACGGTCTTGTCGCACTTGGGACACTTGGAGGCCATGGTCCGTACGCCCGGTCAGCCCGCGCCCCGCACCCGCGCTCCTCTCCGCGCCGCCGCCCGCCTCCCGTCCGCCCCCCGCCCGCTCGCCATTGGCTCAGCGTCCTGGGCGGGGCCTCGGGACCCTGCCCACCGGGACCAGCGGGGGGGCGCCGCGGGCGGGGCGCACCTGCTGGGGGTGGCGGGAGACCCAACCGGGCGCCACCCGTACAGGCTGGGAGGCCGCGGCCACGAGTTCCTCCCTCGGGTTCCTCCGGCATCGTGAGGCTCCGCGGTAGGGCGCACCCTCGCGAGCCGGCCCGGGGTCCGTGGAGCCCGCCCCGGCGTCCCGGGAGCTAGCGAAGAGAGAGGGCCCCGGCTGCAAGCAGACCCACCCCCATTCCCGCCCGCCGCGCGGCGCCGCCTCCTTTTGTTGCTCAGTTTCCATAGCAACGGCCTCTGGAGCGGAGCGGCTAGTTCGGGGCGGGCTGGGCGCCGCGGTCCTGTCTGTGGTGCTGAAGA